AATTTTTTTTTTAATTTTTAAATGTTTTTTTTTTTTTTTTTTTTTTTTTTTTTTGTGCTTTTTTTTTGTCAAAATCTTGTAATATTACTAATGGCCTCTGAAAGTAACAGTCTGGTGCAACAGAACCCTAAGAACTTAAGCGTAAAGTATGTGTAATTTTATTTGTTATCAGTTTGCAAATATGGGCTATATCACAGGGAAAATAGAAACAGCACCTCAATTCACCGTAAAGCATCTGTTTATCATCTGTTTAACTGATGTAATCTAGTGATTGGAGGGATAAAAAGATTTTTGTATTGCTTTGGAAAAAAAGTAAATCTTAAACCGCACAAGCCACAGAATGCATATGCCTGGAGCAGGGACACATCATTATCTCGCTAAATCACACCAACAGAGAATGCGCAACTTATGTCATACATGCTGTGTGTGTTTCCATCAATCTATCATCGAGATGAATGACCCTAATGAATACTGGTCACATGTGCATCCACCTCTACAGCTGTGTTGTTTTTGCTATTCTTTGTTTTTAATGATCACTGTTTGAATATTCACTTTAGAGTACACGATCAAACTATATTCAACTAGTAATGTTTGAACAATTATGTTGCCTTTTTACTCAGTGACTGGATGTAACTCAAATGTGATGGTGGCTGCTCTTCTAGATAGTTCTGGAAGACACGGTTTAGCAAATAAACATTGTGGCGCTCTTTAGAGTTATCTAGTGTTACTATAGCTTGTTCCTGAGTGGTTTGTTTGTAAAAAGGAATCATTTATGTGTCCAGATGACTACAGTCTGTGGACTGTTTATATTAAGTATTGTCTCAAATTGTATCAAAATATATATTTGTTAATGTGTATCCATTCACATGAAAGACACAGTATATATGTATCCAACACCAAGGAGAACATTATTGTATATTTGTAATGCTCTTATGTGGTTGTTCTTATTAATTTTTTTAAATAAACCTGCAGTTCTACACATTGTTTCTTTTCTCTATAGAACATGGAGAGGAGCAAGTACTTTCATAATCAAATTAGCAAAAATAATAAAAAATTTTCCTTCATAAAATATTACTGTCAAGTGACATCACTAAATTAAAAAAAGCTGGTCAATTTATAGAGATGTTTCTCTAGCCTTCAGACATCGCTGTCCTCACTAACACATGCTGTCAGTAATGATTTGACATCATTTTTCTCAACCACAACTTTCATGGTTTTTCCTTTGTATTTAGAGAATCACAGCAAAAGTTCCCTACATTGTCAGGATAAATGCTTCTGAGGATGAATGGGCTTTTACATGACAAGAAGCCTGCTCTTAAACTCAATGAAAAAGGAGGGATACAGAAATGGAAGTGGTTTACTAGTGGTATTATTTTCTTTTTGTGGTTCTGCAAGTCATTTTGAGTTAATTGTACCCAAAGGCTAAACATCTGCCCCCTCTGGCCATATGTTGAACTGCATGAGCCCACTTTTTAGTTTGTTGTTTCTTTAAAGGGGTCATATGATGTTATTTTAAAGATCATTATTTTGTGTATTTAGTATAACAGAATAGGTTGACATGCTTTAATGTTCAAAAAACACATTATCTTTCAAATACTGTACATTATTGTAGGTCCTCTATGCCCTGCCTCTCTCAAACACATCGTTTTCAACAAAGCCCCTCCTTTGACAAGCGCAGTCTGCTCTGATTGGCCAGTTGACCAAGTGCATTGTGATTGGCCGAACACCACAAGCACGCATCGGAAATGTAATGCCCCTTACCATAATCCCGAGCTTCAGCTTTCAAAGTAAATATCAAGACAGTTAATAATGCTGTTAGTTTTACCATCAGTTCAAGCCCGAAAGGGGAACAGAGTCGCGTGACAGACAGTGATGATGCAGTACACAAGCCGCGGTTAAGACAGCTGACGTGCTATGATTTCTGACAGGCAGTTCACTCTCCTGTGATGTGACCCTGTTCCCCTCACACAGACACCCACACACACACGGTGTGTTACTCTGCGCTGCGCAAAACTCCGCATTTGAACAGTCAATAGCAAATACTTAAACTAATAACTGAATGTGGGGTCATGTTAGAATGATCCGTTTTAGGTAGGCCTGGTTGACTCTTAACTTTTATAAAGAATATCTCTTTGGGTTTGAGACTTTAGTCTTTGCAACTTTAGGGATCTTATCTATTCACGAACAGCTTGTAACCCTCCAAAGAGAAAGGAAAACTTGAAATCGCATCATATGACCCCTTTAAGCCTGAATTAATAACATTATAATATAATAACATGGTGTAAAATGGACAAACAAATACAGACTGATGTACACTACTGTAAATCATGAGATCAGTAAGATTTTTTAAAAATAAATTAGTACTTTTATTCGCCCAGGATGCATTCAACTAGTTAAATTAAAATGAAAAGGTGGCAATAAAATATTTTACATTGTTACAAAAACATTTGAAAAACGTTTTTTTATTTTCTTATTTGTCAAGGAATCTTGAAAAATATATATTGAAAAAAACAGATCTTTTAAATGGTAATGTTGACAGTAATAATGTTTATTTTACTATATTTTTGATCAAATAAAGGTAGCCATGAGCATAAGAGACAATTTAAAAAACCTTTAACAAATTTTACCTACCCCAAACGTCTGAACAATAGTGCATACTCTGGAATTCGGTTCAGTAAAGGCTAGAAATATTAGGCATGTGAGTGTAAAATGTGTGGATTTCCATCTCAGTCATGTCTTCTTCTCAAAGGTAAATGAAAACATTATTCATGTAATTGTGTCTGTGTGCACTGTGATACGTGGTTAAAATGCTCTTACACTGAGTCCTTTCATTGCAACTATGAAGCAGGTTGTCATTTTTAAACAATGCACCATCTGCTCTTTCACACAATGCCCTCCTGTGGGCAATGTGCCATTTGTCAATTCAGCAGTGGCTCTTGAAAAAACACACATATATGACATTAAACATTACAGCAAGAAACGCTTGTACACGTCCGCACAATATTCCTTTATGGGTTGGAAAAGTAACAAAAGTGTGTGTTTTAGCACTCTTTTCTCTTTAAAGAAAAAGTTTCTCATGTCTAAAAGTTCATATTAATCCATCTAGCATTACGCATTTACATCAGTGTGTCAATGTGATTCATGGAAAAATCAGATTGTAAGTAATGTATGCTGTATCTGAGCATGAAAAACAAAATATATGTTTTGAGTCCCAACTCTGGCAGTTACTGACTGATGTGCTCTAGGGAGGCAGGATCTGCATCATAACCTGATCATGTGGCACGCAAAACCCTCTCAAGTGTGTCACTAACAGCAGTTATTCATTCAGTCACTGTGTCTGACGTGTCCTCTGGGGTCCACTGTTCTCTCCAAATCTCCAAACTGTGCCACCTGTACATCAGCAGATATAAATAGCATTCATTCATCACATTTAGTTCTCAGTTATGCTCCACTGCTTTTTAGGGGACTTTTCAGCTGGTCAAATTGGAGTTCCAGTTTGCAGACCAGCTAAGAGAACCAATTTAGCTGGGAGACCAACTAGACCAGTTTAAAGACCAGCGAACAAGCTTATGCTGATTTAAGATGCTTTTTTAACACCTATTGTAAAAAGGGCTGAGAACTAAGTTTAGAGAATTAAATATAGGGCCCTGCAGAATGTCTGATGGCTTTTGAGGCTTTTTTATAGGTCAGATGTTAAGTTGACTTATTTTCAAAACAGTTGACAAGGGCAACAGAGGGACGACTGACTATCTCTTTAATAATTCCTCTCTAATGAAAATCCCTCGCCCTCCGTCTCCCCGTCCCGTGTGGGAAATTACGAATCCTACTATGGGGGGGGAAAAGGCTTTACTCATTAATATTTATCAGGTCATGCGGTGTTGCTTGGCAACTCCACTAACACATCAGTCGCAAAATGCTAATTAATATTCATGAGCCAAACGCTCACCATATGATGATTCGTTAATTCGCCAGGTGATTAGCTCGGCGTCTGCATTCCAGCGAATCAGGGAGGCCTACTGGGGGAACGCCACATTCTATAATTAATATTCATGAGATAATCCTTCAGCATAGTATGATTGGTCAATTTGCGTCCCGTGTGCTTACGTACAGCGGGGGTTCCAGGGACCTGGCTGGCGTGAGTGACAGAGCTCGCCTCTAGAGGAAACGGAGCGACTCCAAACTGCAAGGCTCGCGGCTGTCACTGTAAAGCAACTTTTAAGCATGCAATGTAGGTTGACGCAAAACTTTGAGAAGTTGTTTGTCTTTAATGGTTTGTTGAATGGAAATGGAGGCAACAGGCATGACACTGTACTCGAGACGCTGGCTGCAGTCGCGTGAAACCATTTCTAAAAGCATCGTCTCTCGGCATCGTCTCTCAGTTAGGGCTTCATTCATAGTTTTCCCATTCTTCCATTCCTACCGATATATTACTACATATTACTTCGAGTCCAAATATAGACTATTCTGCAGTCAGTGGCTTGTCTGTTATTGTTTTGAATTGGTTGTGAGGTGCATTTGTCTGGTTTTGGCTTCTGGCAACACTGATTGAGTGTTTTTTCTTTTCTTTCCTGATGTGTGTAGTTTTGCATGGGACATTATTTACATGTTTTGCATGTTTCTATCTGGTCAAAGATGGATCAATTATATTTGCTTATATTGTGGTAGCTACATGTAATTCACTGCTGTGCATGGTGAAAAGGTGTAAAAGTGTAAAGCTGTAACTGAGGTGGGATACATGTTGTCCTCAGGTGGCAGCTGTTCTCTGTATGTATGTACACAATTAACCAAATAACCATAAATCAACTAGTGCAATATCCTGTTGCGTTGCGTTTGTGTAGATTCATATTGGTGGTTCAAATAATGTACTAACTCTCATTTGATCTGCTGTTAGGTCATCAGTATTCAGTGATAATGTGGTCTATTTAAAAATTATTATGAACATAAAATTAATGTGATGAATACATAATTTATCTGTGTGTATATATATATATATGTCTATTTATATATTATATATTTTGATATTTTAATAAATGCTGTGCTTTTGAACTTTCTATTCATCCTGAAAAATTTATAAAAAAAAAAAATCTACATCGATAATAATTAGAAATGATTCTTGAGCACCAAATCAAAATATTAGAATGATTTCTGTAATATCATGTGACACTGAAGACTGGAGTAATGGCTGCTAAATTCTTTACAAAATTTTTTAAATAATATTACACAATATTACCGTTTTTACTGTATTTACAATCAAATGCAGTCTTAGTAAGCATAAGAGATAAGATAGAATATACATAACATGCATAAAATACATATATACACACACATACATACATATATATATATATACAGTGGGTACGGAAATATAACATACCATAACATTGTAACATACCATACAGTATGTCTGGTTAGAAAAGATAGATCAACGTGAATCGGAAAATACTTTAAATCAGAAAAACCCAATGCAAGTTTTTACAATAATAGTATGTTGTCTTTGCCAAGGCTTACAATGGCAAGCACTGTATAAATTATCAAGCAATGTCACAAACTGTCCGGGACACTTGTTCTCTGAAATGCTGTCTATGAAGGCCTGATTGTTGAACATTCATGTACAGTATTACTTCAAATTCTTCCATTGACAAAGAGTGCTAAACTTAGCTGCAAACTAGAGGTCTCCCAAATTAGGCTGGGCGGACAGGCAGGTCCTCAGTGGTTATCTTTCCTCCGATGTCTCGGTGCGGAGCTTGTGATGTGCTGGTGCACGAGAGGTCCTCTTATCTCGGTTCTCTGAGAGCAATAAGAGCATATCAGTCTTTTCTCACTGCCACTCGTTCTTTGTTTAAAGCTGCTCATAAAGAACCTCCAGATGCCTCTGAATGCTTGGGATAACATTATCTCATGTAGATGCCATTCACGGTTTGTTTGCAATAAAGAATAAAAAATTATGTCCTGCATTATGATTACAATGCCAGTGGAATATTTTAAATGTTAGTGATTGTTTGCATCCAAAGTTAATGTATTCATAAAGATACACTACCATTCAAAAGTTTGGGGTCAGTAAGACTATTTATTGATTTTAAAAGAAGTCTCTAATGCTCAACAAGGCTGCATTTATATGATTAAAAATACAATTAAATCAGTAATATTGTGAATATTATTACGATTTAAATAACTGTTTTAATATCTTTTAAAATGTAATTTATTGCTATAATGGCAAAGCTAAATTTTCAGTCTTCAGTGGCACATAATCCTTTAGAAGTCATTCTAATACAGTTTTTATTTAAATTACAATTTTAAATTTCTTTAAATGTATTACTGACCCGGTAGAGTATGTTAAAATTTCAGTGTATTTAGATTGATGATAGACACTTAATTTAAACAGGAGACACAGTTCAATCCCAGAATGCACTGTGAATGAATTAGATACGCTTGTTTGTGTCCGTAGGGGCTGCCAATTAACTCTTAACCTTTTGTTGACCTTTTTTCAGAATCAGCCAGGTTGCACTTGCAACTTGCAAGGAGTTAAGCCTAACTCTAACCCAAACCAAAACTAGCTCAGGACCCAGATAGATGAGGCACCCTAGAAGAAAGGAGTCTAGAAAAATCTTTTAGCCTAAGAGGGGGCTATATTAGCTCTGTGAATCATGGGAGGCCTGGCATTCTGGGTGTCCCCTTACATGCCATATAAGTACCCCTTCCTCCCCCCTCCCCAAAATGCCATAGTGCTATCGCTCTCGGCAGAGGGGCAGCTATTCTTAGGCTATCTGTCCAGCTCATCTGAACAGGCAAGAATTCTCTTCCTCTGGCTCATAGCTCTTCTCTGTTCCTCCAGTTATTTTGCATTAGTTGCAGTTTGGCTGGGCCTGAATTCCTTGTTTTAAGCTGTTACTTTGACCCTTTTGGCCTGCAGGTTTTTTTTTTTTTTATCGGAGAGGTGTGAGTGTTACTTTCATTTTACCCGCCCCCCTCCAAATCCATTTTCCCCATCCGTTTGGAGAAATTCGGTTGCTTAAACAATACACAGGCTTTTTTGAACAATGAGTTCGTACAACGTTTCACTCACTGGACCTTCGCCTTGGGGCTTCCGGTTGCAAGGAGGCAAGGACTTCAACATGCCCCTCACCGTTTCCAGGGTAAGACCCCCAAATCTTGGCCAAAAAGACAGTGATTCATTAGTTCAGCATGCATTTACTCGCATACCAATCAATGTAGATTGAGTCTAATTGAAATTTTCATTTGAATAAGAATGTGTGTTTCACTCATATTGGAATTCAATTAAATTCAGTTTCAGTTCAATTTAGATTTTGTAAACATCACTGTCCAATTCTCTTATTATGAGAAATATGATCCATCATTTCACTACAGTGTGATTTGATGATTTGTAGTTCCTTTGTTCATTCATTGTTATCTTGGTACTTGATCCTTTGCTGATCTGTCGCTTATCCAGAGTTGTTTGTTATGTAATAGTACTGACGTTATTCATCATATGATGATAATGATTATGCTTCTCCTAAATTATAATACTGTATTATTATCATTATGCTATATCCTTCTTGATTTGGAAACTTGCATTGGGCATGTGCAGTTTGAGCCTCATAGAAGTGATTGGTATCTTGGTGTAAAGTTTGTGTATATCGCCTTTTGGTGCTGTTAGATATTGTGAAATGTTTTTTTTCTGAATTATTTAGTAGTTTTTCTGCAATGCTGCTTTGAGGAATCATGTAAATCCATATTTCCAATGTAGATGTACAGTATTGATCGTAATGTATGCAGTCAGTTCTTTGCACTCGAGTCGATTCATCCTTGTTCTGCTGTTATTCTTGTGTGTGACGTGAAGTCATGATGACTAATGCTTCTCTTGAACAGCTACACTCTTAAAAATAAAGGTGCTTCAAAAGGTTCTTCAAGCAATGCTATAGAAGAACCATTTTTGGTTCCACAAAGAACCATTCAGTCAAAGGTTCTTTAAAGAACCGTCTATTTTTTACCTTTTTATAATCTGAAGAACCTTCTTTCACCACAAAGAACCCTTTGTGAAACAGAAAGGTTCTTCAGATGTTAAAGGTTCTTTATGGAACCATTTGGGCAAAAAGGTTCTTCTATGGCATCGTGAAGCACCTTTATTTTTAAGAGTGTAGTTCTGTGAAATTGTAGTTCGATATATACGAGGAAGTAAGGATGAATGAGTGCAAAAGGGTGTTTATGAGGGCTTTATTGTAAGATAGGAAGGTCAGATATCACAGAAGGGTGAGTTCTCATTGTACTGTAATAATTCTAGCTCTGCAAACACACATATTTGACCTAGTTGAGAGATTTTACAGAGAACATTATATTGTCGGCATGAGTGCGTTTGACTATAAATGTATCTGTTTGTGTGGTTGTGTTGAAGTGTGTCTTCAAATAAGAGCACAGTCCACATGCACCTATTCTCAGATGTCTAGTGAGGACAGATTCACTGCCCCAATATGTTGCTGGCATTAGAGGGTCTTGAAAAAATAGATCCTCTTGTGTAAAAAATGTCAGACAGTGCTTGAGCGGTCGAACGGTGGCAATACATGCCACAAAGAGATGATGCACTGCCATTTTGTCACCTCTGCCAACATAGTCAGCGGTCGGGAAGAATGTCTGTCCTGCCACTATCCTAGGTGGTCCATAGTGTTAGTCATATTATAGTGACGTATATACCCTCAACAGTATCGTAATGCAGATTGGAATCTTCTGACGCTTTTCTAGGCCTTTTTATTTGCAACATTTGACAGCCGTTTGGCTTCACTGTACTGGTTACTAAGAATATCTAATCAAGAGGTGTATGGCAGGTTTGTTTGTCTACAGGAAAAAGCAATGCTATAGAAGAACCATTTTTGGTTCCACAAAGAACCATTCAGTCAAAGGTTCTTTAAAGAACCGTCTATTTTTTACCTTTTTATAATCTGAAGAACCTTCTTTCACCACAAAGAACCCTTTGTGAAACAGAAAGGTTCTTCAGATGTTAAAGGTTCTTTATGGAACCATTTGGGCAAAAAGGTTCTTCTATGGCATCGTGAAGCACCTTTATTTTTAAGAGTGTAGTTCTGTGAAATTGTAGTTCGATATATACGAGGAAGTAAGGATGAATGAGTGCAAAAGGGTGTTTATGAGGGCTTTATTGTAAGATAGGAAGGTCAGATATCACAGAAGGGTGAGTTCTCATTGTACTGTAATAATTCTAGCTCTGCAAACACACATATTTGACCTAGTTGAGAGATTTTACAGAGAACATTATATTGTCGGCATGAGTGCGTTTGACTATAAATGTATCTGTTTGTGTGGTTGTGTTGAAGTGTGTCTTCAAATAAGAGCACAGTCCACATGCACCTATTCTCAGATGTCTAGTGAGGACAGATTCACTGCCCCAATATGTTGCTGGCATTAGAGGGTCTTGAAAAAATAGATCCTCTTGTGTAAAAAATGTCAGACAGTGCTTGAGCGGTCGAACGGTGGCAATACATGCCACAAAGAGATGATGCACTGCCATTTTGTCACCTCTGCCAACATAGTCAGCGGTCGGGAAGAATGTCTGTCCTGCCACTATCCTAGGTGGTCCATAGTGTTAGTCATATTATAGTGACGTATATACCCTCAACAGTATCGTAATGCAGATTGGAATCTTCTGACGCTTTTCTAGGCCTTTTTATTTGCAACATTTGACAGCCGTTTGGCTTCACTGTACTGGTTACTAAGAATATCTAATCAAGAGGTGTATGGCAGGTTTGTTTGTCTACAGGAAAAGACCAGTAGCACAGGGCCTAGTCAATCACTGTAGAGTGACAGGTGGTACCCAATACGTTTGTTCTGGCTGCCGCTTGGCTCAACAGGGGGCTTTTCTATAAAAGTACCTTACAGGTGTACGGGCCTGCTGTAAAGGAGGCAAGAAATGTTCTGTTATTCTTTATTTGAATCAAGACGTAGATTTACATCTGCTGTGAGTATCACATTAGTTGGTCTGAGGAGGATCCATGTAACTTAAGAGGATGAATATTATTCACCAGCCCACAGGAGACAGACGGCCTGGGTGCTATTTACTGATCAGCCAGTGAGAATTCCAGTTCAGTGACTTTGCGTTGAGTGTTAAAACATGCAATAATGAACTGTTCTGGACCTGTTTATGAGCTGTTGATGTCGAAGAATAATTAGCTGCATATAATATAAAATATAATATAATTGGGAATGCATTAAATTGATCAAAAATGACAATAAAGACTTTTACATTGTCAAAGAAAATTATATATTTTTATATTTTAAATAAATGCTGTGCTTTTTAACTTTCTATTCATCCTGAAAAATGTATTCTTCAAAAAAAAATCTACATTGATAATAATTAGAAATGGTTCTTGAGCACCAAATAAAAATATTAGAATGATTTCTGTAATATCACGTGACACTGAAGACTGGAGTAATGGTTGCTAAATTCTTTAAAGTGCCTTTAAAGTGCCGTGAAAAGGTTTTTGCCCCCTTCCTGTTTTTTTTTTGTTGCATATTTAACACTTAAAAGATTCAGATCATCGAACAAATTGTAATATTACACAAAGATAATGTAAGTAAATACAAAATGCAGTTTTTAAATGATGATTTCATTTATTAAGGGAAAAAAGCTGTCCAAACCTACCTGGCCCTACGTGAAAAATTAATTGCCCCCTCCTGGTAAATCCTGGGAGAACTGTGATTGACCACATTATTTTAGAAAGCTGAGTTAAATTTCACTAGCCACACCCAGGCCTGATTACTGCCAGACCTGTTGAATCAAGAAATCACAAAGAACCTGTCTGACAAAGTGAAGCATGCTTAAAGAGCAACACATCATGCCGCGATCTAGAAATTCAAGAACTGATGAGAAACAAAATAGTTGACATGTATCAGTCTGGAAAGGGTTATAAAGCCATTTCTAAGGCTTTGGGACTCCAGCGAACCACGGTCAGAACCATTATCCATAAATGGAGAAAACTTGGAACAGTGGTGTGAACCTTCCCAGGAGTGGTCGGCCAACCAAAATTACACCAAGAGCACAACAATGACTCATTTAGGAGGTCATAAAAGAACCCAGAACAACATCTAAAGAACTGCAGGCCTCACTTGCCTCAATTAAGGTCAGTGTTCATGATTTAACAATAAGAAAGAGACTGGGCAAAAACGGCATCCATGGGAGAGTTCCAAGGCAAAAGCCACTGCTAGAAAACCCTCCAATGTGGCTGAATTTAAAACAATTCTGCAAAGAAGAGTGGACCAAAATTCCTCCACAGCGATGTGAAAGACTCATTGCCAGTTATCGCAAGCGCTTGATTGCAGTTGTTGCTGCAAAGGTTATTAGACAACCAGTTATTAGATTTAGGGGGCAATTACTTTTGGTTTAGACAGCTTTTAAAGTGAAGTGATGTGTGGCCAAGTATGGTGACCCATACCTGCAATTTGTGCTCTGCATTTAACCCATCCAAGCACACACACACAGTAGTGAACACACACATACACACTGTGAACACACACCCAGAGCAGTGGGCAGCCAATGCTGCGGCACCCGGGGAGCAGTTGGGGGTTCGGTGCTTTGCTCAAGGGTCTCACCTCATTCGTGGTATTGAAGGTGGACGAGAGGGCTGGTAATTCACTCCACCCACCTACAATCCCTTAATAAATGAAATCATTTTTTCAAAACTGCATTTTGTATTTACTCGGGTTATCTTTGTGTAATGAAATCAGCATCTTCAAAAAGCTGGTCAGCAGAAGGAAGCATGAAGTGCTCCAAAATTTCTTGGTAAACGGGTGCAGTGACGTTGGTTTTCAAAAAACACAATGGACCAACACTAGCAGATGACATTGGAAACCTTTGCAGGTGTTTTGAGATGATTAGCTGATTGGCATGTCACCATATTCTAATTTGTTGAGATAGTGAATTGGTGGGCTTTTGTTAAATGTGAGCCAAAATCATCACAATTAAAAGAACCAAAGACTTAAACTACTTCAGTACTACTGTGTGCATTGAATTTATTTAATACACAAGTTTCACAATTTGAGTTGAATTATTGAAATAAATTAACTTTTCCATATCCATTATATATATGTATATGTATGTATATACTGTATATAATGTACTGGGGCTTCTTTT